TTGTGTGATGCATGATATCAGAGTGGGGTGACTTGACAGCTGGCTCCTCTCAGCCGTGTAATGCCAATATCACACATAGAGTATATATAGAGTCTATTTTTTATGCCAGTTCAGTGATAAAATGCACTGAAAAGAAGTCTTCTCAGTACCTGGGATCTTGATAGGAGATTATCGCTCTGGCAAACAGAGGAGGAAGCATCAGCCAAGTGATTTACATTATCTGCTGTGGTTTGGCGTTGTATAACTGGACTCAATCATTCAGTAACAGAGCTGAGAGCATCCAACAAAAATTGAGGTCAAGGGCAACTGGACTTGGTTGAAGATACTAGAAGACGTTTCGTCCCTCATCCAAGAGACTTCTTCAGTTCTGAGCTGAGAGCAGCACTTTGTTTCTGCAGTGTACCAACTTCAACATTTGGCTTAAACGTTATGATTTGTGTGACTTAACATTGTTGATTGTCAGACTCATTGTCTTTCCTTTTATTTGTTGACCTCTCACTAACACTAAACTGCAGTTTACTTGCCCTTTGGCTGGAAGGTTTATATTGTGCCTCGACAGGGGCAGGGGTGAACCTTTTTATTGATTAATTTGCACAGTGAGGATGGAAAGAAGGAAGGATGTCATACAGTCACAAGTTTGAGCTGCTGAAATAAAAACCCCTCTCTGAGGGCTTGAAAGCTAGAAAGCAAATCCCCACCAGCTTCAGTGATGCTGCTCGGTGTCTAACCTTACTCTCCACTTAACCAAAAATAATTAATTGCCACCATGGGATCAATAAAATCACACAACAAATGTAAACTAAACTGTCCATTTCATCTGCAATTGTAATCACTAACAAACAGTAAGTAGCCTCAAACAGATCCAGTGTCCTTACACAGCTCCTGTCCTGGGAACCATCAGGTATTATAGTAATATAGCATGTTGATCCACTTTGTCTCTGGTAAGTGCTCTGTACAGTTTTTAGTAAGGGGACATTTATTGCACACACTTTTGACACTTTTTGCCCCATGAACAGCGTGCAAGCCTCCTGGGCCATGTTCACTGCATATGTCTAGATATTATTGAATTGCAGAATGAATGGGTGTGTCGAGTGGCTCATTTCATTCAGACAAGGCTTTAATAGCAATAGTGTATAAGTTGGAAAAACATCATCTGAAGAGAAATTAAACAACTGAATCTGTGGTGAATATCACAGATATGACATTTTTAAGTTTTCACCTTTCAGTTATATTTTTGTAGGCATTGTATGCCTTTATTAGACAACTTAAAGTAGGGGGATGACATGAAATGTGGGGAGAGTTGGATGGGAAATGACATGCAACTAAGGTCCAAGGCCAGTCGCACCCCAAAGGTTCTAATAATAATTTATCAGTTAGGTTTTCAGGGCCTTGTCAGGGGCACCTTCAGCAATGTTCCATGCTGGAGTCGAACCAGCAACCCTCCGCTTCCCCACAGTCTGAGCTAATGCCGTCCCTCTAATAGCAAGTGTTGTAATAGATGCTCACTTATTTACATTTCTTTTCTTTTTTTTTTCTCAGAAAGACTGATAAAAGAATAGTTCAATATGAGATTGCATTTAGTTTAGGGAACACTGGCTTTCCTACAGTGATGTCAGGAGTGGGCAGACACTACATACAGCATTGCCACTGTATTTATGTGTACTCTTAATCTTATACATTTAAAATATGTTTTTTACTCATTTTTTACACTCTTCTCCTCTCTCCTCTTCCCCTCTGTGACTCTCTGTAGCATCATTGTGAGTCTCTTTCACATTGTCAGGGCATTCACACAGGTATTGTGAGAGCCCGGTTGGCACTCAACCAATGAGGCCACCGAGGCTTCCTGTGAGCCTTTGCCAAGCTGGCACGAGTGACAGAAAAGGCAAGCTCTGCTGACAGCCTAAGACAAATGACCTGTTAACCACTTCTCCCTCACTGTGAATTCTTCTCTGTGTCTGTCTTTCTTATCACATCTCACAGTTTGAGGCTGTGATTGAATAAACTGATTGATCCCCCTTAGTGAGAATATGCATTTAAACCTAATTTAAATAAGTAAATTACCTTAAAAAGGCAATAAACTTTTATACTGCCGGATAGCAAAAAGACAAAACACGTCTCCTGGGGTCTTAATTGCATTGTGGATCAATATAAGCGACTCTGTTTTTAGCCTAAAGCCCAGCATACATTGGCATTTCAAGACACGCTGGCATTTCAAGGCCTTCTGCGCTGCACTGTGTGAAACCTCACCTGCTGTTGTATTTCTTTAAAGATTCCTTATTATATTATGTTCTCTGGTATGACCTACTGGGTTATTCCCAGAATAACAAATGTTCACAAATGGTAATAGTTTCAGTTGTTTAAGAGTAAAAGGCAAGTTAACTTTGCCCAAACAGTTTATTAGTGCAACATTATGGTCAGGGCCCTGACAGTGTTGGAGCCCTGGGCGAGATTTTAGATTGGCGCCACCCGTGCCCAACCCTAAAAAGTTTGTAACATTACCTCTTCAATCTTCAGGAGTTGTTAAAAAAGAAACTGTTTTCTTACATTTTAGTGAATTTATGAGGTAATTTTCTTGAAACCCAAGAGCTTTAGAACATTTTAAGCATTACTTCATTTCCTGCATTCTGGTGAAATTTCTGCACTAATTTCTGCCTTTATTGCATCAATTTATCGTGGAATTATCTTAATAAATAATACATTATATTAAAAACTAATATAAAGGGAAACATGAAATTCAGGCTGGTAAATGGTAACTTTTTACATTCCTTTTTAAGACTTTACTTTGAGTTTTTACTCAAGTAATTTTTTGGAGACTGTCGGCTAATCTACTTTTAACTTCACTACATTTACCATTCATACCATTGTTACAACTGGTCTGATATCTACTATGCGTTTTGCTACATTAACCTAAATGAGCTGTCATCCAAGCTGTGACAGTTTTGCAGGAGAGCTTTAGCCAGTTTGCTTATTTCCTACTTCATTCAGCATTTCGCTGCTCCTGTGTTATTGCCACAAAATTTCCTTATGTTTTAAAGATTATGTTCATAGATGCTTTAGGAATAATCATATTATATTGGGGGCCTGTGCTATTGGAAAAGGCAAATCATGTGCAGCGCCCGTCATATCAAAGCAAGTGGTTTGGTTGGCTACATGTCCATATGAAGAATGATGTTTTGAAGTGATCTTATCGATACCTTTATATAGAAAAAAATAATAATGACCACGGTGGGTGGTGTTAACGCAATTGATAAGACTATGCCTTTGATGTGAGAGACCCGGGTTCAATCCTCCACTGTGACCCATCCACCATTGTGTGCCTGAGCAAGACACTTAACCCCTAGTTGCTCCAGAGGCGTGCGACCTCTGACATGTATAGCAATTGTAAGTCGCTTTGAATAAAAGCGTCAGCTAAATGTCAATGTAATAAGCAAAATAATTGTAAAAAGAAATTGGTAAATTAAACGGCAAAGTGCATTCCACTGAAATAACCATGTTGCAGTGTATGCATTTCTAACCTGATGCACAGTGGGTGAAACACTTATTATTCCAGAAAGAGGCTTGAGTCCGACTCCTGATCAAAGACTTGAAACTTGACTCATTTTGCATAAAATGATTCATGACAATCTTTGGCCAGCACACACTAAACAACATTAAAACACAAAGTAACTTGTACTTTGAGTGGTTCACTGACCAAGTACATAGATAATGTTAATAGAGTAGGTTTGTCAAATGGTAATTTTTTACTTTTTGAGTACTTTTTTATGGGAATAATTGTAGTTTTTCTTCAATAAATACTCAATACCCTCAACTTGTACAGATCCAGTAGGAGAACAGAGCAAAAACCTGCTAAAACTAAGTGATAGAGCTGCAGAGTTGGTGTTAGCAACCATTTCACATTAAACAAAGACATTTGCTTCAATGTCGCTATAAACAGTAATACTTGGAGTTTTATTTTATGATTACCCTGCTATCTAAGGGTATATACCATTCCTTAGTAGGTATTGTGAAGTTGTTTGATTTGACCTAGAAACATGGAGTGGCCTTATGGGTAGAAAACATAGATTTTATAATATGTACAAAACCACACTGCTACTGAAGTACTTCTGCTTCACTGTCTGTCAAAAGAAATGTGTGTCGGAAACAAAACACCTGTCCACCCACATGATGAACTATTTCCCATCACTAATGTGTCATATCCATGAATGGTTGCAGTGTTCGTGCGAGTTAATATTTTTGTGTTTAGCAGACTGTTTCCATTGTCTTTTCACAACTAATTTCCTTGTTGATTCACACAGAATAAATTTTAACTACATCTCTTATCTACACTACCCAGTACCAATACAGACATGTGGTTTTTATATTTTAATAATGAGGTTTCAAGAAGCACATTGGACCCTAAAACAATGATGCATATCAATACTTACATATATTTGTGTATGTATACATATATATCTATGTATGTATGTTTCCTACTTTCCTGGTTGTTTGATAATATACAGTCATCAGATAGTAGGAAGTCTCCAGTGTTGACATAAATGAAATACACTTATGATCTACTGTTTCCCCAAGTTTTTGGTGTATGTAAACAAATGCATTAAGGCAGATAGTTGTTTTCAGCTGTTTACAAGTTCTGGCTGTGAAATGTCAGCCTCTTTTGATGTTATTTTATCAAAAAGTTAAAATGATGTCATATGCATTTCTCAGGAAGCATTTAAAATAGTCAGTGTTCTTGTTCCTGTCTAACCTCAGTTTAGTGTTTAGGTGCAGAAGATAATATTGATGCTAAAAAGAAGAAGAAGCAGCGTGTGTGCAGGTCAGAGGGGGGAAAATCCTGGGAGGTTCTCAAAAACCGTCCTACCCCAAAAAACAAAAACAACACAAATTGCATTAATATTAGTAGAGAAGAATGGTTCAACAACAATAAAACAAGAGAAGCAGTAGAAATAAAATAAATATACTTACCTTGTGACTAATCTGTGTTTTCTTATTTTCTCTTCCAGTGAAGAAAGCCAAACTACACGGGCCTCCAGGTAGGAACCAATACATCATACTAAATATCTGTTGATGTCTGAATATTGTGAAGTGTGGTGGTGAGAGGTGCAGCTGTGTTATACACAATCCATCTGAGTTACATGTAGCTAGAGCTGGGATTTTACAGTAAAGTTGACTTTCCATTTGTGGAAGTTTGTGCAGATTTTCTTAATTCAGAATATATATTGTTTCACTGAAGCTGGGTTTTTGTTTCAGAGATGGCTTAATAAATAATCAGTCTCAGAAAAATGCAAAACACTAAGTGTTTCTTTTGTTTGACAAAAAGTCAGACCTGTTTAATGTATTTTTTAGAAGCGGTGACTTCCCTTACCTATCTTACTTCTCAGAATTAATTACCAATAATAAACACTCTCCCTGAGCCCGGTTTAGCAGAATCAGTCAGCTTGTCCTCCACCTGCTGCTTTCTCTGCTACCTCAACTGAAGATTGTGAATTATATTTATCATTCTAAAAATTTTAGACAGATTAAATATCAAAATAACCTTTCATTTCCAAAGTACTACACAAACTGGTCGCTAAGCAGCTCCTTGAAGTGGTTGAAGGGAATAACATTTTTGATAAATTCCAACCTGCCTTTCTGGCTTTCACCAACAACACAGCACTGAAACTGCTTCGTCAAGAGCCACAAATATCATTTGAAATTTAAAAACCGTGTCATCATGTTTTTTTTAAAACTCCGAAACACTGCAAAAATCAGATCATTACTATGTGCTTCTGACTTAGAACACATCATTACTGCCAGCAATTTCTCTCGCCTTGACTTCTACAGTGCCCTTTTCAATTACCCCTATCAAATGTAAAACAAAAGCTGAATGTTCTTTCACTGCTCTAACACCCGCTCTCTCCCATTAGATCAGCTAAGTCTGTTGACTGTTTCAAAAAACATTTAAAACCCCACTTTTTAAGGTTAGCTTTTTGATAACTCCAAATGGTATGCTAGGGCCAGTGGCTGGTTGCTGAATGCAATGCTTTATGTGTGTTGCGTTTGTTTGAAGGTGAATCTGTAATTAAAGTTTTACTTACTTAGTCTAGTTACATACTAAACAATACTTAAACAAGAGAGCCTACAGCAGTGTTGGTGGCAGGTATAATGTTCATAATGTGCATAGTTTGTTAGTTTGGTGTGTTGGCATGATTACCGTTAAATACAAAGTAAATGTGAGGCTGATTGGAATATAATGTTTCAGATATTTAGTTATTAACCAAAGTGTTGGACAAAGTAAAATGTTGACCCAATGATGGCACTAGTGTAAAGTCGTGGGATCACTAAAGTTTTTACATTTCATCCTGAAGGGAACATTAATTTCTGTGCCAAATTCCATCGCAATCCATCTAATAGTTTCACTTAAAACCACAAATATGGACCTCATGGTGGCACTACTGGAAAAGTCAGGGGATCAGCAAAGTTCGTAGGATTCATTCTCCATTTTTACATAAATGTTCCTCTTCAGGGATGAAGCATCACCAATTCAGCAGCCAGTCAACGCTGGACTCTTCTTGTCCACCTTTCTTTTTTGCATCTTTTTATTTTACCTCTTGGCTGGCTGCAGCTGTTCGTCCCGCTTTCTCTCCAGGCGATGATGAAGGGAGAACAACAGCGACGAGTGGGAGAATGAAAAGTCAAGCCAGAGGAGGAGAGAAGAAAATCAATAGATCATTACAGACAAAGGGCCACCTGCTAGCCTGAAATGACAACATATCATCCTGGCATAAAGGAGAAGATGGAGACAAATCCCTCAGTGTCTTCAGGAGACAGAGACAGACTCCAGATACAGGAGATGATTTGTCATTTGCTGCCTTTGGCCTCCGATCGCAGAGCAGATTTTCAGATCGGAAGTAGGAGATTTGATTGGCCTCCCCAGGGTTCATAAAATAGGACATGAGTGATGGTTTTACAACTGAACAGTTACAAAGGAGCAACATCCTGTAAACATGGTATCCTGGATAAGTCCTTATCGTGGTTTTGAGAAACCAGATTATGCTACCTGCAGTATTTCGATCCAGGATACTGTGCCATGCTAACTTCTTATTTCTCTGATCACTGTCTACAATGTAAGTAAGTTAGTCAGTAAAAAAAGTATGACAAACAATGCTCTGGTAATTTTAAGCATAGTAATTTTAATGTTATCGCTTGTTTGAGCATAGTGCTAATGCAGAGTTCTGAAGTCTTTCATTAGCTGACCAGCTGATTAGTAACATCCAATCCTATTGAGTAATACAAAGCTGTTTGCTTTATATTAGCTAACTCTGTCACAATAACATGATGGAGCAGCACTTGGTTCTCAGGTTTAGTGCAGAGCAGCATTTTCTTTTATATTACAGGGTTTTGATAATAGTCCCTCGGGAAGACCTGAGGCTACTGATGATGGCAAATTTGTTTTTGGGCCATTTATGAATGAGATCATTTAAAAAAAAAAAAAAAACAGAGCATGAGAATGACAAAGTTAGCTCAGATGATGTGAGCTCTTAATAGGAAGCCAATGACAAATCATCAGGATACCATCCAACTAGAGTCCATAAGTTAGGACTTATGAGGGAACTGTTGTGAATTCCTCACGTAAGAACAGGAACGTTATATAATTACCTCATCTTCCCCAACCTGGCAGGCCAGAAGATCTCACAAAGTGTTGCACTTTCCTGGAAAACCTCGGCTTTCAGCTGTTGTGGCCATGGCTGGAGATAGGAAATAGATGTCATCCAAAGAAGGTTAAAGTCAAGGGTGTGGTGTCCGAACAATAATACTGCGATGATGTGTTGAGAAGAAATCCGCTTGACACTGTTCGTGATCATAAAAGTTTATTAAATCAAGGAGTTCAGCATCAATTACAAGCTCTGCAACAGCTTGGAGAGTGATGCAGCCCGATGGCCACTCTGTCTCTCTGTACATCAAACATAGCTTATATAGGATATGTGTAGGTATCTGTTAGATACCATAGAAGGGTTTGAGTCTGCAAAATAATATAAGGGTACAGTGCTATTCTGAGGTAACAAAACAAGGACTTAGAGGTCAAATTCTATAGAAGGGTTCAGTCCCTACATAACCACCAATCACTGCTCTCCCCTTAGGAGGTCACTGACCCTTTGCCCTGCTGCTACAGTGCTATTTTAAACTGTCAAATGCACAAGCCCTGTACACTACAAGGGCAACTAGACTTGGTTGAAGATACTAGAAGATGTTTCGTCCCTCATCCAAAGGACTTCTTCAGTTCTGACTGAAACTAAGCTATTTTCCCTGATGTCACTAGATGTCACAATTTGCAAAAGCTGAGCATTAAAAAACTTAAGATGCCACATTCCATCCATCCACACTCAGCTGCAAAACAGTGGAGCGGTGCGCGCAGTGCACACAACTCTAAACCCAAATGGAAAACAAAATGATTGCAAAGAACTACAAGTATAAACCAAGTTGGTGTCTGCCTATAACAAGGTCCATGTATTGTATGATAAACTACTTTGCGGTTCAAATCGCCTAAACTAGATAACCCAGTTGAGTGGGGTTTTGAATTACACACACACACACACACACACACACACACACACACACACACACACACACACACACACACACACACACACACACACACACACACAGAGGAAGTCTCACACACCTACTTTTCCACAGGGCTATAATATTCGGCCATGTAGGTGATAGCAATTATACCCAGAATGCAGTTCTGCCATGTGACATGATTATTAGTCTCAGGTCAGACACAGCTAGTAGAGTTTGTCCCGCTCTAATGCCCCAGTTTGGGAAACATGGTCTGATTTATCTTAATAGTAAAAAGCAATAGATTCTTTGCCTGGGGGAGCTGGTTGCTGTCCCAAGGCCCACCTGAAACCCCACTGGTTGACGACCCCTGAGAGATCTTGGTGGGTATATGTGTCACTTTATTAGTTTAGAAGATACACATAATCCTGTTTTATGCCATGTGTGGTTCTAGAGGAGATTCAGGTAGTCTGTTGGTCCAAAGCTGTGAACCAACCTGCAACTATTGGATGAATTGCCATTATATTTGGTACAGTCATTTGCGGTCTTCAGAGAATGTATGCTAATGACTTTGTTGATTCACGATTTTATGTATAGCACCACAAGGTGGTTACCCATACACTGTCTAAAACATGGACGTAGTGTCGGTGACATCACCCATAGGTTTCTGAAGAGCCGTTGTGAGGCTCTGTGTGGGTGGCTCCCGGATGATGCAAATCAGTGAAATCAGTTTTAGTATTTTGTTGGAAGGAAAACCTGCTTTTGAGTTTTTGGGCCACTTATTGTACTTGCAGATCTCTGGATTAGAGGTTTGAGAGTTGGGATTTTAATCAGAGGGAAACTACTTTGAATCTCAAACAAAGGGCCTTTAAGAAAGGCAGGCAGAATGAAATTGCTCATGTGGAGCTTCTGAGTTTTTAATAGTAGATGGTTGGTTCTGCTTGGGAAAATTGGTCCAAATGTGTCTTCATTTTGTCTCGTTGTCATATGTGTCATGGTTTCCTTCAATCCAGCACAATCAGTGAAAACTTTGGGCTGTACTTGCTATAATAAATCATTACCTTGAACAACAGGCCTGTCTTCAGGTGTGTTTGAACAGGGAATTGTCTGAAATTATGTCGTTTTTCATAGCTGACGCATTGCTCATCAGTAGTAGTGGTTATCTTGCCGTGATGGTTCATTGCAGTCTAATGAATGCAGTGGAATCCCTGACAATAATGAGGAAATGGTGTTTGTGTAATGAGGCTGCCCTGACTCAGACAGCCTGAATGGCTGTGCTGTCTGACTTGTATTCTGTGTGTGTTGCTTATTGCAGACTGCATCAATTCCTCTGAGTCACCTTAGTTTATTTGTAAGTAGCCATTGTAGAAGACACTTTTACTGTATACTGCCTAATAAATTGCAGTATATCTCCCTTTGAGGAATTATTTGAGAAAATGAGCAGTTTTCTCTCCACTCAATTGTCTGAAGTTAGAAGAAAACTGGCTGGTAA